CAAGGCGTGAAGCCACTAGGATGCAGGGGTGTTGCAGAAGATTTGGAGCAAGAGCAGATAGGAGTGATAGAAGAAAGGATGAGGAGAGGGATAGTGGATAGATCAAGGTAACTGGAGATGTCGATTGACATTACATTTGAATAGTTGGAGATTATAGCTCTCAGGGAAACAGTAATTGCGAAGGATGTTCCACAGGTGAGAGGTGTGAGGTATGAAGCTATTGGAGTAGAAGAGACGGCTATATCTAAAAGTTTATACAGTGAAAGGGTGAGAGTGGGATGCCAGCCTTGTAGGGCAAATGTGAAGGATCTCTTCCGCCTACTTGTTTTTTCTTCAAATATGCCCATAAATTTTCCATAGGGTTTAGGTCAGAAATTTGAGCGGGGTATAGCAATACTTTAATTTTGCTGTCATCTAAATATTTTGCAACAATTCGTGCCATGTATTTCGGGTCATTGTGATGTTGGAATGTCCAGTGACGTCCCAAAGACAGATTTCGTGAACATTGTTTTATATTATTTTAAAGAATAGCCAAAAACTGATCTTTATCCATGATTCCCTGTACTGTCATTAGTTCTGTTGGTCCAGAAGCAGCAAAACATCCCCAGAGTAGATTGCTGGCACCACCGAGCTGAATTGTAGGGTGGTGTATATTTTGGTCTCTAGGCTTCATTCACTTTTCTCCATACATAACGGGAGTTCATGTGACCAAATAATTCTAGTTTGGATTCCTCTAACCATAAAACAGAGTTCCAATATTTACTCCTATGTTCAAGATGGCTTTCAGCATATGCTAATCTGCATTTTAGGTGTTTAGCATTAAGCAAGGAAGTTTTCCTTGGGCAACAAGCTCGAAGTCCTGCACAGTGAAAGCATCTAGTGACTCTTCGTCGACACATTCAACCCTGATGACATTAACAATGTTCTTTGTCATTCAGTGAGGATTCTTTGAGACATCTCTAACAATTTTCATTTCCATTCTCTCAGAAATTAACCGTTTTTTGTCAGTCCTTAATTCATTCTCAACACAATGAGTCTCTTTGTACTTTCTGATAATGCTACAAATTGTTGATTCGAGGAATATTTAAATGCTTGGGAAATGTTGTATATCCATCACCTTGTTTGTACACATCAACTAGCTTCGTTCAAAACTTCTTGTCAAGTTCAGCCATCTTCACCATGATTGCAGAACAAATGAGTTATGGAAGTACGTAGCACTCACAGATTATTTTCTTCATTACCTTTTGGAATATTATAGAATTAGGCCAATACTATTTCATTTTCAAAAAATATTTGTATTAAATATCAAATTAAGAAAAAATACATTATAATTACCATAGAGCAATATTTGTTCATATTTTCTATAAGTGGGGTGACTAATTTTGGACGGTACCAAATTTTAGAAAAAAATTAACTATGAATATAATAGATCGAATCTTCTAAAAAATTCACGAATTATTCAAAACTAAATCCGGAAACAACTACTTATGGTAAATTCAGTAAGCACTTGAAAATGTTGACATTTCCTTAGAAAAAATGCAGCCATTCAATGGGGTGAATAATTCTGTCCACAACTGTATATATACATATAATGATTTTCCAAGCGTTGCTTAGATGTGGCACAAAGCCAAAAGTAGGGGGTACCCAGTGAGGATCGAACTCGCTACTAAGCCGTAATTGTTCTAGCGACACAAGGTTGCTAACCATTACACCGTCTCGAGGTGCCCTGGAATTATAGTCTATAATTATGTATTTGGGCAGCAATCCTTCTGTCATAAAGGTTTCATTAAAAACGACTGACAATTTATTGCAGCTATGTTTTTTATTTCATTTTTCTTGTGTTCTTATAATTTTCATCTTTTCTGGACATAAATTGTCCAAATGTTCTATATACCCGAGCGCTTTCGGCTATTCATTTAGCCATTATCAAAGATGATTTTATTTTTATTTTGAAATGAAGGTATGGATTGTCTTATGTATATATCTAGAGTTATAGGAATGCTTTATTTTCCAAACACGGCCAACACATTGTGGCCGTCTTCATAGTTGATATTATTGAATGCTTGCATTATTTTTAGTCTTTTGTACATGTTGCGTAATAGAGTTTGGTAGGTCTCCATGTGTATTTGAATGAGTTCTAACTGAGCTGTGGTCAGTGAGATGCAATGCAAGCCTTCTGTATACTTGCTTGATACACATATATATATATATATATATATATATATATATATATATATATGTGTGTGTGTGTGTGTGTGTGTGTGTGTGTGTGTGTGTGCATTGGGGTGGGCTAAGATCACCCACATCCTAAAGAATTGTTTTTAACAATAAAAAATGAAAATAACGTCTTAGCTGTGTAGTGACCTCAAACATAGTAGCAGTAGTAGCCCTAAATAAATTTTCTATCTGCAGCGGGCTCTAATATAAAAACACGTGAATCCTAAAGCAACTCTCTCTCTCGATATATATATATATATATATATATATATATATAATGTGTGTGTGTGTGTGTGTGTGTGTGTGTGTGTGTGTGTGTGTGTGTGTGTGTTTCCGGTTGAAATCCGGTACCAATAAATAACAAACGCCAAGAATGAATATAGGAATATAATGTATTAATGTAATAATACAAACTGGTAATGCAGGTTAGTAGTTCCAGGAATACGGGTTAGTAGCAAAATATATATACAGTCTTTGGTATTGAAATATCGCTGTATGACTTCTTACTGAGTCTACGTGCTCGCTCACGGTGACTCTTGCTCGCTACGTTCGTTCTGTCTGTCTGTGATGAATTTTCGACGCTGAAGTTTAAAGAGCTGTGAACGCTTCACACTAAAACACACCAACACAGTAAGTTCCACAATAACATATTCATAAACATTTCGTTTCTATGTAATTTACTTCTAGCAAAAGAAATTGTTGTTTTAAAATATCCTTTTGTTAATTTCGTTTTAATAAATGTTATCTTTGCATTGCAAATTGATTGGTCAGTTATTCGGTGCATGTACTCTTTACACAGCCATTGTTTCATGTACTATAAAATGTTCCTGTAAGAAACCTTACACATTTTATTATTGAAGTAGCTAATCAGTAAATCTGCGAGTCCCCGGTAAAATATAAAACATAAAATGCAAGTTTGCTTCTTTCATTTACCACGTCCTTTTAGATCATGAACGATCGTGTCCCTTCACAACTTCCAGTCTTTGTCTGCACTAAGTAACTTTTGACCCGTTATCTTCTCTCTCTTATCCTTGTTTCTTCATCCACTGGCTCCACTTTCTCCGTTTGTATATCAGGCGTTTATATAACTTCCTGCCATCCGAATATCTGGGTTCACATCCTGTTTATGCTGGTGTTCTCATCGACATATTTTGAGGTCCGATTGAGCACTTTGTGTGTTTTGAAGCAACCTTCCAGTTTAACTCTCGAGGCAACAAAGCTATTTGTTCCTTTGAGTACTAAGCTTAATTTGCTATCACTTAGGGTCAACCCAGTATATATTGGGGTCATCACAGATAAACTCATCTTAGTTTATTAGCTTCCTGATTGGCTTTAAAGCTGATTCTGACACTTACGAGAGATAATCACATATAACACTTTTAATTGTTACGAGGATAGGAAAATCTTTGGCGTTTATATTTGAGTCTATAAGCATCTTGGTTCGATGATATGTTTTATTCTTTTATATTTGAGTCTATAATTATCTTCTTGGTTCGGTGATATGTTTTATTTGTTTATATTTAATTTTATAAGCATTAACATAGTTGGAGGATATGTAAATAGTGGCCGTTTATATCTGATTCTAGAAGAATTTACGTTTAATCATAGTTAAATATTTGACTTTTATATCTGTGTCTATGATAATTTATTTGTTTGGACATAGGTAAATATTAATCGTTTATATCTGAATCTATGGGACTTCATGATTTCGGTCATAGAGAAATATTTGTCATTTATATTTGAATCTATGAGACTTAGTGGTTTGGGCATAGGTAAATATTGGTCGTTTATGCCTTAGTCAATGAGACGTTATTGTTTCGGGCACAGGTAAATATTGGTCCTTTATATTTGATTCTATGAGAATTTATTGGTTCGGGGATAGGCAAATATTGGCTATTTACATTTGAGTCAATATGCATTAACTTAGCTAAGGGTTATATAATTATTTGTATCTTATATTTTTCTTCGGTTCTTTATTCTCTTCTCCTTGCTATCTTGTTCTCCTTTCGTTAAACTGTCCTGGGTATGACGATAAACTGCATCCACGTCCTGGGTAAGACGATAAACTACGTCCAGCAGCAAGGCCTCTGGTCAGGAGGTTTTGAGGAGCGTAGAACCACCTCTTAATTGCTGATGTTCCCAGGTCCGCCCTGACCCGGGGTGGTAGCACCTGTTAGGGTCCCAGCTATGGGCAAATAGTTGACTCAAAACACTATGAAAATTATAAAAATAGATTTTAATACGAAATATACTTTTAAGAAAATTAATACCAGCAATAAATATTTGAAAAAAGAAAATATTACCAGAAATAAAAAAAAAAATTGTCAGCATTAAATAACCCAGTGAGTTTAATATGCCACAAAAAAAACCAAAAAACAAACAATACATTTTTGAAAAAAATATTACCAGCTATACATTTCTGAAAAAGTTAACAGCTATACATTTTTGAAAAAAAAAAAGGAATTTGTGTCGGTATTAAATAACACATTGATATGCTGTAAAACAAAACAAACCCAACCAAACATTCATTAAACTGAGAAATAAAGAAAAAATTGAAGAAATTGAAATTTCTTTCTTTCTTTGTTTCCTTTCTTTTTGTTTGTTTTCTTTTGAAAGAAAGAAAGAAAGAAAGAAAGAAAGAAAGAAAGAAAGAAAAACTTTATTGGTTTGGGTATAGGAAAATATTCGTCGTTTATGACTGAGTCTGTAAGAATTAATTTGTTTTGCGTTCTTTCTTCAGTTCTTTCTCCTCTTCACTTTACTGAAACTTTTTTTCCCTTTTATTAAACTGGGAAATAAAGAAAGAACTGAAGAACGAAAGAAAAACAAAGAAGCGAGGAGACAAAGAAAGAAAGAAAGAAAGAAAGAAAGAAAGAAAAAGAAAAAATTCTATGTGAATTTATTTGTTCTGCCATAAGTAAATATTCGTCTGAGTCTATAAAAATTAATTTGTTTGGTATAGGCTAATATATATATGTATGCTATCTTTAATCTCTTTTTCTAAATGGCAGGGGATTATAGGCATTTTCACTACCGATGTGGTTCTGACATATCGTGAGAATAAATGAACTGAGTCTGTGAGCTGCGAGAAAGTTTAAGCAAATCGGGACTAAAAGGCATACTTAAAACCAGAATGCGACAGTTTCTAAGGCATAATGAAAGAAGTGTTCTTATAAACTACACTGAAGACGGAACAGACAGATGGAAACAGCAGGTCAACGACCAAATTATTTTACTTTAAGCGGATGGCAAAGCGAGAAGAATGAGGAATTAGGAAAATGTTGCTTAGAGATTAGAAGTGAGAGGATGTTGTCAAAAGTTATCAACCACGTCCTTAATAGGCATAATATATAAAATGTGGGAGGTACGGTGGAGTAATGGATAATGGCTCGGAGTTAGGAATCGGAGAACCGAGTTCGAATTCCAGTCAGACCCATTACATTCACTTACGTGCTAATACCCTTGGGAAAGGTATGAATCCTCTTCTCCCCTAGCAGTACAGAGCGGATTCTTTAGCCTTGGATGGCAACTGGTCTACCGCATAAAGAAATGGCAACCCACTGCGGGAAAAATCTGCCTCATCAGTCATGCATCGAAAGATACATGATCGCCTAAGCGTGTATCACGCATGGCATATAAATGATTAATATAAAAGGAGAATATATATATATATATATATATATATATATATATATATATATATATTAATGTGCGTTTTTGCTTTTTCTTTCTTTCTTTGTCTAGTCAATACTTGGCTTACAGCAGTATCACTTTGTAACAGCGATTCTCGTACGATCAGCAAAGTTAATTAGTATTTGTATCATTAAAATCATTATTATCTCCAAAATGAAATAAATATTATTACAATGTAAAGATATTTTCTGGCTTTAAATAACATGCAAAGGGTTGATAAGCCGTAAAAAACGAATCAACCAACCAATACTCAGTTCATTCTCTCTCTCTTTCTTTCTTTCTTTACTTAGTACTTTCTTTTCTTTCATCAGTTCTTTATTTATTTCGCTGTTTACTGAAATCTTTCTTTTCTTAGTTCTTTCTTTCTTTGTTTACTGAGTGCTTTCTTTTGCCCTCTTTCTTCAGTTCTTTCTTCTCTTCTCTTTACTGAAATCGCTTTTTCCCTTTCATTAAACTGAAAAAAAAAGAATTGAAGAAAAACAATGTAGCGAGGAGACAAAGAAAGAAAGAAAGAGGAAAGAACTGAGAAGAAAAGAAAGATTTCAGTAAACTGAGAAGAAAAGAAAGAACTAAAGAGAGAATAAGGAAGTATTGAGGAAAAGAAAGAAAGAAGGAAAGAAAGACAGAGAGGAAGAAAGAAAGAAAGAAATGAGAAGAAAAGGTAGATTTCAGTAAACTGAGACGAAAAGAAAGAACTGACGAAAGAAAAAGAAAGTACTGAGTAAAGAAAGAAAGAAAGAAAGGAAGAAAGAAAGGAAGAAAGAAAGAAAGAAAGAAAGAAAGAAATAACTGAGAAGAAAGAACTGAAGAAAAATAAGAAAGAACTGAGTAAAGAAAGAAAGAAAGAAAGAAAGAAAGAAAGAAAGAAAGAGAGACAGAGAGGAAGAAAGAAGAAAGAAAGAACTGAGAAGAAAAGGTAGATTTCTGTAAACTGAGACGAAAAGAAAGAACTGACGAAAGAAAAAGAAAGTACTGAATAAAGAAAGAAAGAAAGAAAGAAAGAAAGAAAAATCTAAGAAAGAACTGAAGAAAGAATAAGAAAGAACTGAGTAAAGAAAGAAAGAAAGAAAGAAAGAAAGAAAGAATGAAAAAAGAGTGAAAGAAAAAAGAGAGAAAGAACTGTGAAGAAAAGAAAGATTTCAGTAAACTGAGAAGAAAAGAATGAACTGAAGAAAGAGAGACTAATAAAGTATTGAGTAAAGAAAGAAAGAAAGAAAGAAAGAGAGGAAGAAAGAAGAAAGAAAGAACTGAGAAGAAAAGGTAAATTTCTGTAAACTGAGACGACAAGAAAGAACTGACGAAAGAAAAAGAAAGTACTGAATAAAGAAAGAAAGAAAGAAAGAAAGAAAAAAAACTGAGAAGAAAGAATAAGAAAGAACTGAGTAAAGAAAGAAAGAAAGAAAGAAAGAAAGAGCTGAGAAGAAAAGAAACATTTTAGTAAACTTTTCTTACTTCTTTCTTTCTTTCTTTATTTATTTATTTGTTTACTCAGTACTTTCCTTTTTTTCTTTTTCCAGTTTTTCTTTACTTCTCAGTTTACTGAGATCTTTTTTCGTCTCAGTTCTTTCTCTCTTTCTTTCCTTCTTTGTTTACTCAATACTTTCCTTTTCTTTCTTTCTTCAGTTCTCACTTTACTTCTCAGTTTACTGAAATCTTTCTTTTCTTCTCAGTTTTTCTTTCTTTCTTTCTTTCTTTCTTTCTTTCTTTCTATCTTTACTCAGCACTTTCTTTTTCTTCAGTTCTTTCTTTACTTCTCAGTTTATTGAGATATTCCTTTCTTTCTCTTCTCCTTTCTTTCTTTCTTTCTTTCTCAATCTTTCATTTGCAGCGATGTATGACCCTTGTATTAATAAAAATCTCTGATGACCTTGTAACGAATGAACCAATGGCCGTGTTTCACGACTAAGTGGATATGGGAGGAAAGATAAATAAACCAGATTATAATTATGAGAATTTGAAGAGACAGAATGAAAATGAAACAATTTAAGTTTTGTGTAATAACATCGAATTCATAGAGAAATATTAAACAAATTTACAGAGTGTGGATAATTGCTTTGTAGTATTGGGTGCTTCTAAAAAAATAGTGTAGTGAAAAATGCGTGCAACTGACTGTCGTTATAAAAAAGTTTCTTTTTACTAAATGTGCTTTCTGGAAGAAAATTTTTTCACTGGACAGTTTGTGAATAATAGGCTCCTACACAGATTCGCTGAAAAATGAGCATACCATGATGAAAAAAATATCCCAAATTTAGTAAAACCAATTTCATCGTCAAAATAATTATGTCATTATTAAGAGGAAAGACCAAAGAATTCTTTGATTATTAAATTATAATTTTTTTGTTTAGAACATTCGAAATTTTGGTTAAAAATCTTGTTGAGTCGGGACCAAAGATTAGTATAGGAAATTTTAGCGTCTTTTTTGCGATGTAAAACACATTTATTTTGAAATTCTTGCAAATATCAAATAAATAAACTTCCAGGACTTATTCACAAATTAATGAAATTATTTTAGAAATGTTTCTTTTGTTAGAAAATTTTGGTAAAACCTTTTTTTTGTTTACATGTTACCAACTTATTTCTTTTTTATAAAATTTCGATAGATCAATTTTTGTACTGCTTAAAGGTTTATATTAGTTATAGGTAGAAGTCCTTGGAGAATTTAAAGCATTAATTCTTTTTTTATAAAACATGACTTCTACTTACCGAATATCTGCTCTGAATCGTAAAGCAAAAATGCAATAAAATTAAGACATTATTTAATTAAAAAAGAGTTTTAAATTGTTTTTATGAATAAGATAGATTATGGACACTAATATTTCAATGAATTATGAATTTTTACAAAAACTGTTTTCATTTTTTTTTTTTTTTTTTTTTCTAGTTTTCAGTCTTTTAAAATTCTGTATCAATTTGTACCGGTTAAGTAATATTGTTATTAAGTAAAAACTATATTTACTAATCATAAGTAGAAAAGCTTACTACATTTCAGCGACCCCCAGTATTTTAAAAAGAATATTGTTTTCTTTGTGTGTCTGTGTGTGTATAAACGTGCCGATTTACGACATTATCAGCAAATAAGACCGATAAATATAGTAAATTAATGCAAAAGTGCCTAAAATTCAGTAAAACCTTAGATTACAGAGAATATTTCCTAAATTTTCAATATGACTGAGTATTTAAAAATTATATAGAAATAGAATTAACTCAGTTATTTTTACATACATGTCCACCGTAGAAAAAATAGATAAACTTTCATCTGTCAGTCAAACTGTTAACACCTTAAATAAACATATACTTCCGTGTTAAAAATTATATAGAAATAGCGTTAAGTAATTTTTACATATATGACCACCGTAGAAAAAATATATAAACTTCTGTCAACATCTTAAATAAACATCTATTTCCGTGTTAAAAATGAATTTAAACCTGCAACCTCTTGTGTCTTAGTGGCTTTACTGCCTTGTATGGAGTGATATGATTAAAAAAAAAAAAAACGATATATTAAATTTAATCTATTAGCTTGAAATTAACACTAAAATAAAAGATTCTTTGGCAGTTATTGTCTTGACAAAGAAAGTCAGCCGAGTGAAGCAGACCTCATAAGAATCATGTTTTTTTTTTTTTTAAGCGTTTCACCCCAAGCAATTCGGGAAGCCACTAGGACGCAAGGGGTTACAGAAAATTTGGAGCAAGATCAGATAGGAGTGATAGAAGAAAGGATGAGGAGAAGGGTAGTGGATAGATCAAGGCAACTGGAGATGTCGATTGACATTACATTTGAATAGCTGGAGATTATAGCTCTCAGGGAAACTGGAATAGGGAAGTGAGTTCCACAGGCGAGAGGTGCGAGACACGAAGCTATTGGTGTAGGAGAGATGGCTACATTTAGGAGTTTCGACAGTGAAAGGGTGAGATCGGGATGCCAGCCTCGTAGGGCGCTTGAACTCATGAAGTCTGGGAACCAGTGAAAGCAGCTCATCGGAGCAATTGACATGAAAGTATTTGTAAAACAGACAGAGAGAGGCGACGGCGCGTCTTTGAGAAAGTGGCTGTTGACGAGATGCCAGATCAGGGCCAATTATATTGCATATCCGCCTCTGGAGCTATATCAAGAACCCCGTGGCAAACAGGAGGGGCTCCAGACTATGTATGACAGCAATACTCCATGCAAGGGCGAATTGTTGATTTGTAGATCTGGAGGATCGCTAAAAAATTCATTTTAAACGTTAGGTATCGCTTTTCTTTCGAGGTATCTATTTTTAAGTACAGGTTGTACTCTTTTGCCGTAAGTGACACAAGAAATGAGTAATCACTTAGAAGGAATATTCTGTAGATGGACTCAACGTATTAAAACGAAGAATTTTAAGTACGGGGCGCTTTGGTAGTTTCGCTTTGCGTTGAGCGACCGAAAAATATTTTGTCCTATTTATTTATTATCTCAAATAGACTAAGAAAGAATTTTTGGTTGATGAAAACTAATGTTGGAAAATCCCAGTTGAAACATTATTGTTAAATTTGGTGGTGTCAGCCTTTTCGTGATACGATTTTTGGACTAAACGGAAACATCTGTTTTTATAACTGATAACATTTTGACATATGGCAGTTTCTTTAGTTTTTCTTTCTTTCTTTCTTTCTATCTTTCTTTCTTGGCCTATTCAGTTCATTCTTAGTATGTTCTTTTCGTTTTACTTTCTTGCTTTATTCAACTCTTTTTCTTCCTTTCTTCTGAGCCAATTCAGGTTTTCAACTGTCTTGGGTACGACGATAAACTACATCCGGCAGCAAGACATATGATCGGTAGGTTTTGAGGAGCGTGGAACCACCTCTTAATTGTTGTTGTTCCCAGGTGCAGCATGACCCTGGGTGGTAGCATCTGTTAGGGTTCTAGGTATGGGCAAATAGTGAACGTCCCTCAAAGTGAGGTCAAACCCTATGGAAGTATAAAAATAGATTTTTTGTAGTAGAATTGCTAGCACTGCATTCTCATAGGAAAAATTACCAGCAATACATTTTTGTAAAAGAAATTACTAATGCTCCCAAGAAAAAAATTAAATTTCGGCATTAGATGACCCATAAGGAGTTGATGTGCCGCTAAGCAAAAACATTTTATCTGTAGCTAAAGGCATACAATTGCGTTCTAAATATATTTAGTTGCAGCATTAAAGTTGTGTTCAAAATATTTAGATTTCGGCATTAAATAACCCATGGAGATTTTGATATGCCCCTAAACAAAATCAGGTTTTCATTCACAGTCTGTTCAGTTATTTCTTTCTTTCAAGTAAGTTTTTTCTTTTTTCTTTTTGCGTTCTTAGTCTGCTCAGATCTCTCTCGATCTCTCTCTCTCCCTCTCTCTCTCTTTCTTCTTCTTCTTCTTCTTCTTCTTCTTCTTCTTCTTCTTCTTCTTCTTCTTCTTTTCATTCTTCTCTCTTCTGTTCAGACTTTTACTCATTCTGTTCTTTCGTCCCCCCCATCTTGCTTTCTTGCTTTCTTTCTTTCTTATTTCTTTCTTTCTTCTTTCTTTCTTTTTCATTCTTTTTTCTTAGTTCGTCTGTTTCTTTCTTGCTTGCTTTTATCTTCTTCGCTTATTCTCTTTCTTTTTCAGATTTTCTTTTTCAGATTTTTCTTTCTTTCTTTCTTTCTTTCTTTCTTTCTTCTCTGTTTCTGTCTTTCTCAAACTGTTTCTTTCTTATTTGCTCTTTTCTTAATTCCTTTCTTTCTTTCTCGGACTGTTTAGTTTTTTTCGTTTTTTTTTTCTCCGACTATTTGTTTCTTTCTTGACTATTTTTTTTTCTTTTTTCCTTGCTTTCCTTCTTCTGGGTGTGTTCAGTTTTTCTTTCTCAGACTGTTACTTTTTAGCTTGCTTTCTTTCTGTCTTGCTTTTTTTTTTTTTCTTGCCTTTTTTCTTCTATACTTCTTTTCGGTCTATTCAGTTTTTCTTTCTCATATTGTTTCTGTCTATATTTCTTACTTTTTTTTGCTTTTTTCTTCTTTCCTTTCATTCCTTTTTCTCGACCTATTCAGTTTTTTCTTTATCTGCCTCTTTCTTTCTTGCTTTTTTCCCTTTTTTCCTTTCTTCTCATTTTTTTTCTCATATAGTTTCTGCATTTTCTTTCTTTCCTTTTTTTTCCTTCTCGGCCTGTTCAGTTTTTCTTTCTCACACTCTTTCTTTCTTTCTTTCTTTCTTTCTTTTCTTTTCTTCTTGGTCTGTTCAGTTTTTCTTTCTCAGACTCTTTCTTTCCATTCTTTTCTTCTCGGTGTGTTCAGTTTATCTTTCTCACACTCGTTCTTTCTTTCTTTCTTTCTTTCTTTCCTTTCTTTTCATCTTGAAGTGTTCAGTTATTGTTTCTCAGACTCTTTCTTTCTTTTCTTCTTGGTGTTTTCAGTTTTTGTTTCTCACACTTTTTTCTTTCTTTCTTTCTTTCCTTTTTTTCCTACTAGGTCTGCTTAGTTTCTCTTTCAAACACTCTTTCTTTCTTTCTTTCCTTTCTTTTCTTTCCTTCTCGGTGTGTTCAGTTTTTCTTTCTCACACTCTTTCCTTCTTTCTTTCCTTTCTTTTCTACTGGTGTGTTCAGTTTTTTTCTTTCTCAGACTCTTTCTTTCTTTCTTTCTTTCATTCTTTTCATTTTTTTCCTTCTCGGTCTGTTCAGTTTTTCTTTCTCACACTCTTTCTTCCTTTCTTTCATTCTTTCTTTCTTTCTTTCTTTTCTTTTATTCTTGGTGTGTTCAGTTTTTCTTTCTCAGACTCTTTCTTTCTTTCTTTCCTTCTTTTTTTTCCTTGTCGGTCTATTCAGTTTTTCTTTCTCACACTCTTACTTTCTTTCTTTCTTTCTCTCCTTTCCTTTCTTCTTGGTGTGTTCAGTTTTTCTTTCTCAGACTCTTACTTTCTTTCTTTCTTTCATTCTTTCTTTCCTTCTTTTTTTCTTTCTTTTCTTTTCTTCTTGGTGTGTTCAGTTTTTTTTTTCTCAGACTCTTTCTTTCTTTCTTTCTTTCCTTCTTTTTTTTCCTTCTCGGTCGGTTCAGTTTTTCTTTCTCACACACTTTCTTTCTTTCCTTTCTTTTCTTCTTGGTGTGTTCAGTTTTTCTTTTTCTAACTCTTTCTTTCTTTCTTTCTCTCCTTTCTTTTCTTCTTGGTGTGTTCAGTTTTTCTTTCTCAGACTCTTTCTTTCTTTCTTTCTTTCTCTCCTTTCTTTTCTTCTTGGTGTGTTCAGTTTTTCTTTCTCAGACTCTTTCTTTCTTTCCTTTTTTCCCTTATCGGTCTGTTCAGATTTTCTTTCTCACACTTCTTTCTTTCTTTCTTTCTTTCTTTCTTTCTTTCTTTCTTTGTGTGTTCAGTTTTTCTTTCTCACAATCTTTCTTTCTTTTTTCTTTCTTTCTTTTAAAGTCTGTTTAGCTTTTATTTTTCCTTATTTTATTTCGTGTTCCTTCCTTTTTTTTCTTTATTTGACTTCTTTTCTCTTCCCACTTTCTAACATTATTTGATATTTCGTATTTCCGTCATTTTTCCTTCTTTTTCTACTCTTTCAACTTTCTTTATTCCTATCCTTTAATTCCTGTTGACATCAAAGCTTCCATCTTTATACTTTGCGTCATTTCTTTTTATATAATACAGTCATCGCCTTTAAACATCTGGATCAGACGACATTGTAAGAAAAAAATCATTAGTAAAGTATTTCCCTTTTCCACAAACTCTGAATAAATTATTTCTTAAAAGGCATCTTGTTAAAGTTCATATTAAATAATTACAAACCCAAGTTTCACTTTATTTGACTAATTTTGCGAGTATTATAGATATTTTAGTATCTATATTTCTGAGATGAGGTATTATGTACACTATTTACATTATTCGGACCATTGTCCTCATCTATGTTGCCATATTTATCACCCTTCAGTATCTGTCTATATTTCTGAGATGAGGTATTATTTACACTGTTTACATTATTCGGACTGTTGTCCTCATCTTTGTTGCAATATTTATCACCCTTCAGTATCTGAAGAGTGATAAATATGGCTTTTCATTTTTTGTTTGGAGGCAAAGTCTGATGATCCGCAGTCCTTTTAAAAGGGCTGTGGTGAAATAATTTAGTTCATGGAACCTTAAAGTGGTCTGTTTTTATTTAAATTATTTGCTCTGAATTTACATTGAGCTCTCTGGATTTTATCCTCCTTGGGTTTACACATACGGATTACCTAGTTTTTCATAAACTATATAGTTTATATATATATATATATATATATATATATATATATATATATATATATATTGACTGCATGACATTATTGAAGCATGTGTTATTAAAGACTATGAAACGTTTCTGTTTAATAATCTTTCTTTCAGTTTTTTCTTGCTTCCTAGCAAATTTCTTTACATTTGGGTCTAAGTTGTTGAAAAAAAAAAGCCGAGTTCTTGGTTTTTGCCGAGCGCTTTCGATTATCGTCAACCGTCATCATGGCTGTATGTTTTTGAAGTAGGTTGCTTTTTATTTTTATTTTTTGGAGATAATAGTCTTTAATAACACATGCCTCAATATAGTGATTTTTCAAGCGTAGCTTAGATGTGGCACAAGGCCGAAAGTAAGGGGCACCCAGTGAGGATCGAACTCACTACTCAGTCGTAATTGTTCTAGCGAGACAACCTTGCTAACCATTACACTGCCTCGAGGTGCCCTGATTTTCTAAGCGCAGCTTAGATGTAGCACATAATGAAAGCATGGGGCACCAAGTGAGGATTGAACTCACAACTCAGCTGTAATGGTTCCAGCGAGACAAACTTGGCATTACACCACGTCGAGGTGCCTACACAGCTTCAATATATATATATATATATATATATATATATATATATATATATATATATATATATATATATATATATATATATATATATATATATATATATATATATATATATATATATATTTTTATATATATTACACAGCTTCATATATATATATATATATATATATATATATATATATATATATATATATAATTTCATAATTTTGAATATCTTATCTGAAAACATGGAAAAAGTAAATCAATTGGTTTTAGGGGTTCTTTAGATTCAAAAAAAGAAATATTTC